TGGTGCTTCCTTAAAAAGCTAGAAATAGAAGTACCATGCGATCCAGCTATCCTGCTCCTTGGAATATACCCTAGAGAAATAAGAGCCGTCAATGAATAGATATATGCACACCCATGTTCATCGCAGTACTGTTCACAATAGCAAAAAGATGGAAACAACCTAGGTGCCCATCAATGCACGAATGCATAAACAAATAATGGTATATCCACACAATGGAATACTACGCAACGATAAAGAACAAAGATGAAGCCATGAAACGTCTTATAACATGAAGGAAGCTGGAGGTCATTATGCTGAGTGAACTTAATCAGTCACAGAAGGAGAAATAGTGTTTAAGATCACTATTATAAGAACTCAAGAAAAGGTTTAAACACAGAAGAAAACATTCTTTGATGGTTATGAGGGTGGAGAGGGAGGGTGAGGGCTATTTACTAACTAGATAGTAGATAAGAATTATCTTAGGTGAAGGGAAGGACGGCACACACTACAGGGGAAGTCAGCACAACTGGACTAAACAAAAGCTAAGAAGTTTCCTCAATATAGTCAAATACTTTGACGGACAGAGTAGCAGGGGTAGGGGTCTGGGGACCATGCTTTCAGGGGACATCTAGGTCAACTGGCATAACAAAGGTTACTACGAAAATGTTCTGCATCCTACTTTGGTGAGTGGCATCTAGGGTCTTAAAAGCTTGCAAGTGGCCATCTAAGATGCATCAATTGGTCCCAACCACCTGGAGTAAAGGAGAATGAAGAACACCAAAGACAAAAGGAAAGTATTAGCCCAAGAGACAGAAAGGGCCACATAAACCAGAGACTTCATCGGCCTGAGACCAGAAGAACTAGATGGTACCCAGCTACCACCAATGACCGCCCTGACATGGAACACAACAGAGAGTCCCTGATGGAGCAGGAGAAAGGTGGAGTGCAGAACTCAAATTCTATTTAGAAGACCAGACTTAATGGTCTAACCGAGACTGGAGGAACCCCAGAAAGCATGGCCCCTGGATTCTCTATCATCCCAGAACTAAAACAATTTCTGAGGCCAATTCTTCAGACAGGGATTGGACTGGGCTGTGGGACATAAAGTGATATAAAGGGACATAAAGGAGTGTGCCCCTTAGCTCAAGTAGATACAAGAGACTAAATGGGCAGCTTCTGTTCGGAGGTGAGATGGGAAGGCAGAGAGGGTTAGGAGCTGGTTGAATAGACATGGGGAATCAGGGGTAGAAAGGAGAAGTGTGCTGTCACAGTATGGGGACAGCAATTAGGGTCACATAACAATGTAAGTATAAATTTTTTATGGGAAAAAATTGAAAAATAAAAAAAAAAAGAACTAAAATCCAAACATGCAGGGGCAGCTATTAATTTTATCGCTTTTAAGAGTTATCAGCATTTCTGCTGCTATTATTATTTCTAGCAGTTTGATGCTAGAAATATGTGAATTTGAATGCTGCAGGAATATTGTTAGGGAAATATTACTGAAGAGCATACAAATGAGAGAGCTCTTGAAAGGCATATCCCTCTATTGAGTTTCCTTAAAAGCAGTGGCTTAATCCTTTAAGTTTAGAGTTGATGTAGACTTTATAAGTGACTGCCCAATTTTACGGAGACTTAGTAACTCAGAAAACTAATGATTCACTTTAACACTCAATTTTCAGCACCAATCAACCTCTCACAGAGCTTGGGGTCCCAGGACAGTTCTAATGACTAGTGACTACAGATGTCAGGTCACAGAGAAGTAGTAGTAAACCTGTTTAGCATAGAAAAGCTGAATATTCTGGACATGAATTCTTTGTTGACTATACGAGCTATAAATATCTTCTTCCACTCTGTGGCTTATCTGTTTACTTTCTTTATGGCATCTCTGGATGAATAGAAGTTCTTAAATTTAATAAGGCTGAATTTATTGATATTTTCCTTTATAGTTTGTACTTTTGTTTTATTTATGACAGTCACGTCTCACCCCCAAGATCATAAATATAATTTGGTATACTTTCTTCTAAATGTTTAAGTTTTGCTCTTCACACATTAAGTCTTCAATCCATCCGCAGATTAATTCTTTAGTCTGATGAGTAAGGATCCAATTAATTTCCTTCCCATATGGATAATCAATTTGCTAGCACAATTTATTGAGGAGTCTATCCTTTTCTCCACTGACCTGCAATGTCACCTCTGTCATATCTCAGGTTTCCCTATGTATGTGGATGTAACTCTAGGTTCTCTATTCTGTTCCACTACTCTTCTACTTCTCTTTGTCTATGCCAGTACCATTATTGTCTTCATCACTGTAGCTTTCTAATAAAAGTTTTGCTCTCTGGTAGGGCAAGTGCCCCCACCTTGCTCTTCCACACCAATTTCCTGTCGGGACAGTACCCTGGGCTATCTCAAACCTCCAACACCCAGATCATCAACCTTCTTCAGACTTGAATTCTTACAATTCTTGATCTCACTGTTGATTTTCTGCCTCCAAAGCAGCTTCAAGCATCATCAACAGCAGTTTTGGAATCTGCTTAAAAATGAAGAAGGAGGAATGTGCACCTTCTGGAAAAACAAGAAGAGATAAAAAGTGAGGGGAGAGAGAGAAATTACATAAAGCAAGTGTTTTCAATAAAGATTTAAATGCAGTGCAGTGAAGAACAGACAAGTGAGAGAGTAATTTCAAAAATATTTTCCATTTCATTATTTTTGAAAACATATTAATTCACAAACCATATCCCATCCTCTTACATAAATAAGGAAGACAGAGGCTGCTTCTTCAAGAATATCACATGAGGTAAAACAAAATCCTCAGGTGATGCTAAGAAGTGGGAAACATTTAACTCAAGTGCACCCCAGGGGAAAAAAAAAAAAGGAGAGTGTCAGAGGTTACAGAAAAAAATCAAAAGATAGTGTTAGGGGTTAAGACTCTCACCTGAGAGCTTCTCTTACTGCTATCGCAGCCATAGGCGGTCCTAGAGACAGAAGGATCACACTGTGAGAAGAAAGGGTAGAGAGTTTTCAAAAGGGTAGCAGGCAGTGGTTATCAATTAGAGGATGATCCCCTAGAATGAGTGAGTATCTCCAGAGAACAGAGGGTTGTGTCTATATGCAGTTTGAAAAACTGTACTCAGTAGCACAACCTAATTTTGCATTTGAAATCTTCAGAAATAAACCTATTATTTTTATGTTACAAACTACAGAAATAAAGCTTTTAAAAATAATCTTCTTGGCTGGTGGAGATCAGCAATGATAATACCGATAGTAACTAACATTCACTGAGTGGTTACTATAGGCTAGACACTGTATTAGTACTGTGGACAAAACACTATACTACATCTTGAGACACAAACCTGAGTCTTCAAAGGGTGGCACTTTACCCACTCAGCTTCCTAACTCTCGAAGACTGACCCCAGACACAACATTTACTGAAGAGAACCGGGTCAGCTGCCAAAAGAGAAGTTCAAGCATCAAAAGCATAAAAAACTGTTACAGAATATCTTTCTATAGTGATTTTAAATTAATCAAGTCCAACCACCACTACCAATCCTTATTAACTCCTACGAACTAAGCAATGAACCAACTGCTGAGAAATAATAAGAGGAAGAAATATGTAAATGAAGAAGAAAAAGAGAAATATATAAATGCTACAATGAGTGTCCAAAGGAAGAAGCACCTCCCTCTGCCTGTGGGAATCAGTGAAAGTTTTGTAGGAGAGGAGATATTTAAACTGTGTCTTGAAGCAAGAGTGGGAGGTCAGCAAGCAAAGAGAGGGCAGGATAGTGAGTGAGTTCTCAGCAGAGAGGACATCTATGCCATACAAAACTGGCAGGTATGAAGGAGAATGGCATATTCAAGGAAAAACACACAATCTTACGTGGAATTGTTGGAGAAGTCGGGAGGAGACAGACTGACACTGTGGACAATGGTGAATTATCAGTAGTTTGGCAGAAGAATGAAGAAATCGTATCTGGGTTTTTCAAAAAAAATCCTTTGGGCAGTAGTATGGAGGTGACAGAAAAGGGAAAGCGAGGCCAGGTAGAACGTAGCGGCAACAGTCAAGACCAGAGATGAAGGCAATTATTAAACTTAACTTCAATTAGTGAGTTTTTACTGTATAGCATACAAATGACAACAAGGCACAGTATATAAAAACTGTAATACAGATCACAGAATGATGGAAATAAAATCGTTATTGCTTGACTTTATGTAGCAATCAGTTTTAACATAAATTCTCCCCAAACCAAGTAGATCAGTACCAGTCCTTTAACAACAAAGAAGCAGAGAACGCAATGATGACTTTGAATCAACTGTTCCAGGCTCATAAAAAGTATTCAGTTGACTAAACCTTGCAACCAGGCTTTCTTCAGCCACACAGGGCTACAGACCCAACTGAGGTAAAAGCTGGGCTCTGGCTGGAAACACCTGACTTTCCAGTCAGTTGCCAGGACAGCCCAGGTATGCTCTCCACAGGGGCAGGCTTAGGAACTGGTGTCTCAAGTAACAATAAACAAGTCCTGGGACAAAGGAACCACTGTCTTCATTGAGCAGAAGCAGGTGAACTTGACTTTCCCTCCACAACGAACTGATGTGAATCATCTATATTTATGTTACTATGTGGCCCATAATTCTGTAACATTCAAAGTATCTGCCATCTTGATATCTTCTCATCTAAAGAAGTATATTGGATTCTGAGGCTCCAGCACTAAGTTGATCTCTCTGATATTGGACTGTATGAGGTTACTGTGAAGATTAAATCTTAAACACATATGTAAAGGGCCTAGCACTGTGCCTGGCACAGAGTAGACACTCAGTACGTTGGTAGCTAGTATTGTTACAAGGTGATGGTAACACTTTACTTTCTCAAAGATATTTGAAAGCAATAACTCAAACTATAAAATGTATATTATGATTAGGACTAGGTCTCTCATTTTGACATAAGATCCGCTTGAAACTTATATATATGTGTGTGTGCACACATATGTGTTATACACATATACACCTGCACATGGCATTTGTAATTTACGCTGTTAAACTGTACAACTGGGCAAAATGAAAGGGCTAATTACAATTAAATCTCACAAACATTTTAAAATAAAAAATAGCTATTAACTATTTGCAAAATGCTACTGAGTATAGAACTTCTTGACAGGTATAAGATATTCCGTGTAACACTTATTGTGCTGTGATTGTCAGAAAATAAAAAAATGAAGAGTCAAATAGCCTGAGAAAGGATAAAATATGAGAATTATATAGCTCAAGACTTGAAATCATAGATTAAGATTTCAAATCAGGAAGTGGAAATCAGGTGACAGGTTTAGTACAATATAAATGTTCATCAACAGAAAAGATGCTCACTGAGATGCATCGAAGGTCAAGTTCAGATAAACATCCTGTCATTAGAAACCCTGCCACTATTTAGACTCAAGATTACTTAGCTTTTTGGTCAGGTGATTTCCTGCCCATTGTGCCCCTCCACAGGTGTCTTAGTCATCTAGTGCTGCTATAACAGAAATACCACAAGCGGATGGCTTTAACAAAGATAAATTTATTTCTTCACAGTAAAGTAGGCTAAAAGTCCAAATTCAGGGCGTCACCTCCAGGGGAAGGCTTTCTCTCTCTGTCAGCTTTCTCATCAATCTTCCCCCAGACTAGGAGCTTCTCTGCTCAGGGACCCCGGGTCTAAAGGATGCAGTCTGCTCCCTCCACTGCTTTCTTGGTTGTATGAGGTCCCCCAACTCTGCCTGCTTCCCTTTCCTTTTATCTCTTGTAAGATAAAAGGTGGTGCAGGTCACACCCCAGGGAAACTCCCTTTACATTGGATCAAGGATGTGACCTTAGTAAGGGTGTTATAATCCCACCAAATCCTCTTTAACATAAAATTACAATCACAAAATAGAGGACAACCACACAATACTGGGAATCATGGCCTAGCCAAATTGATACATACATTTTTTGAGGGACATAATTCGATCCATGACAATAGGAAACTTGTTTCTTCTACATTAGACTGTAAGAAAGGGGCAGCAATGGTATGTGTGTGTTAAAAGGTGGGGAGGGAATAGTAGGGAAGAGAAGTGGCTCTCATCTACATGGAGTTCCTATGCTACCATGGAAGTGGCATGATTTTCTACATGGAGACTTCCCCTAAGAAAAAAATTGTACACTGTGGGTGGTTTTCCCCACCTTACCAAGGAACCCAAGTGTAAAGGTGATGCGGACTCTCTTCACTTCTATTAATGTGATCCAGGGATGGATGGGTGGATGGAAAGCAGGTGGATTTACTGAGCACCTATAATGTGCCCCTCAATAACCCCTCAATTTAGACTCTTTATTCCCACTTATTTACAGCTTAGCATTGAAATGGTGAACTGCTGGCTTTCTCACTTGCTTAGCCACTTTAATAGCAATGAAATCTAGAGAATATTCTAAATAGGAAGATACTGCTTTTGCACTCCAAAGTAAGAATGCCTCCTATTATTCTGAAAGTCTCCTAAAACGCACTTTTTGCCATGGGAAACAATAGCTGCCTTAATATATGAAATTCTGTTTCCTGAAGGAAATAAGGTATTTGACAGAAAACTCTAGCTAGCAAATTTGCTGAATGCATACATAAAACTTACACTAACCTACTTACGTCTTTTCTCCTAAAGAATTAATGATGGCCTCTGAAGGCAATGATCCGTATACTAGACCCCAAATCAGCCTCAGCTGGAAACCCTATTAAATGCAAAATAACCCTACATATTTGAAAAACCTACATGATTTTCAAGGTAACTATTCCTATCACAAACTAAACCAACAAATATACATAAACATTTTAAACCTCAATACTTTCAGAGCCCTAACAGCCCTTTCAAAAACATCATATTAACAAATTTATGAAATCTATCCTCTTTCAAGCTTCGAGGTGCAATAGTGAAGGATTCTACGGGGAAAATATGAAACAATGCAGGAAGCATCAAAAGAAGATGGAAGGAATACACAGAGTCACTGTCCCAAAAAGAACTGGTCGACGTTCAGCCATTTCAGGAGGTAGCATAAGATCACGAACCAACAGTACTTAAGGAAGAGGTCCAAGCTGTACTGAAGGCATTGGCAAAAAACGAGATTCCAGGAATTGACAGAATACCAATTGAGATGTTTTAACAAACAGATGCAGCGCTGGAAGTGCTCATTCATCTACGCCAAGAAATCTGGACGACAGCTACCTGGCCAACCAACTGGAAGAGATCCGTGTTTGTACCCATTCCAAAGAAAGGTGATCCAACAGAATGCAGAAATTATCGTACAATATCATGAATATCACAAGAAGTAAAATTCTGCTGAAGATCATTCAAAACCGGTTGCAGCAGTACATCTACAGGGAACTGCCAAAAGTTCAAGCCAAATTCAGAAGAGGATGTGGAACAAGGGATATCATTGCTGATGCCAGATGAGTCATGGCTTAAAGTAGAGAACACCAGAAAGACATTTACCTGTGTTTTATTGACTACGAAAGGCATTCAACTGTGTGAAGCATAACAAATTATGGATAACACTACGAAGAATGGGAATTCCAGAACACTTAATTGTGCTCATGAGGAACCTGTACTTAGACCAAGAAGTCATCGTTCAAACAGAACAAAGGGATACTGCGTGCTTTAAAGTTAAGAAAAGTGTGCATCAGGCTTGTATCCTTTCATCCTATTCTCAGTCTATATGCTGAACAAATAATCCAAAAAGCTAGAGTATATGAAGAACATGGCATCAGGATTGGAGGAAGACTCGTTAACAACCTGTGATATGCAGATGACACAGCCTTCCTTGTTGAATGTGAAAAGGACTTAAAGCACTTAAGTGATGAAGATCAAGGACCACAGTCATCAGTATGGATTACATCTCCACATAAAGAAAACAAAAATCCTCAAAACTGGACCAATAAGCAAAGCTATGATAAACAGAGAAAAGATTGAAGTTGTCAAGGATTTCACTTAAATTCACAATCAACATCCATGGAAGCAGCAGTCAAGAAATCAAACGATACACTGCATTGAGCAATCTGTTGTAAAAGACCTCTTTAAAAGTGTTAAAAAGCAAAGATGTCACTTTGAGAACTAAAGTTCACCTGACCCAAGCCATGAGGTTTTCAACCGCCTCATATGCATGCAAAAGCTGGGCAATGAATAAGGAAGACAGAAGAAGAACTGATGCCTTTGAATTACGGTGTTGGTGAAAGAATATTGAATATACCATGGACTGCCAGAAGAATGAACAAATCTGTCTTGGAAGAAGTACAGCCAGAATGCTCCTTAGAAGCAAGGATGGTGGGACTTGGTCTCACGTACTCTTGACATGTTATTAGGAGGAACCAGTCCCTGGAGAAGGACATCATGCTTGGTAAAGTACAGGGTCAGCGAAAAAGAGGAAGATCCTCAATGAGATAGATTGACACAGTGGCTGCAACAACGGGCTCAAGCATAACAAAGATTGTGAGGATGGTGCAGGACCCGGCAGTGTTGTGTTCTGTTGTACACAGGGTTGCTATGAGTCGGAAGTGACTTGATGGCACCTAACAACACAAAAACATCTTCTTTCAAAGATAGTGCACAGTGACTAAGTGCTTGGCTGCTAACCGAAAAGTCAACGGTCCAAACCCACCAGCTGCTCCATGAGAGAAAAGATGTGGCAGTCTGCTTCCATAAAGATTACAGCCTTGGAAACACTACAGGGAAGTTCCACTCTGTCCTACAGGGTTGCTATAAGTCGGAATCAACTCAACAGCAACAGGTTTGGCTTGGTTTTGGTTTTATCTCATTTAATCCTTAACATATTGCCTGAGTAGGTATTTTTAGCCCCACCAGTACAGACAAAAAAAAAAAAAAAACCTAAGACTCAAAATTTAATCAGCCTATACAAAATCATCCAGCCAGTCACCCAGCTAATAAGCTGGATCTCACAAGCCATTCAGCTAAGTAATGGAGCTTGGATTCCAACTCAGGCCTCTAACTCTAAAATCACCATTTTCTCTCTATTCTGCCAAACTCGTTGCTGTCCAGTCGATTCTGACCCTATAGAACAGTAGAACGGCCCCACAGGGTTTTCAAGGAGTGACTAGTGAATTCGAACTGCTGACCTTTTGATTAGCAGCCAAAAGCTTAACCACTGCGCCACCAAGGCTCTATACCATAACACCCTCAAAAGTTTCTCAGAAAAAGGAAGTCAAGAGGAGGGAATTTAAAGTGACAGGAGACTAGTTAATTA